AAACCACACAATCCAAAATACTTCGAAAAATCCTCACGCTCCTTGTTTTATTTTAAATAACACCATACACACATGCATGAACATACCAAAGTAAAATCATTCATATACAACATTTCATTCTTCTACTCTCAATCATCCATACCCATTCGTTTTGTCTCTTTCTTCCTCTGTGTTAGCCCTCGGTGAGCTCTCAACGAAGACTAAAGAGGCAATGCCCTAGAGATCTTCTGCTGACAATGTAAACAAGGATCAAGAATTAAAGAAGACAACATAAACGGCTTGTTTGTTGCGTTACAACCCATTGGCAAATTTAAAATAAATTTTTAAAAAAATGATTTTACTACGTTCAAGACAATTTCAAAATTTAAATCAATTATAATATATGTTATTAATTATTTTTGATCATTGTTTTAAGACGAAAATAGAGGGATCTTCAGAATACAAAAATATAAAACTATAGGATTTTGTTCAATATCTTAAAGCCAAAAAGAAAACAAAACATGAAACTTTTCATTGGATATGTGTGGCTAACTGATTTCATTCCCTTAGTTATAAGACCAATTAAGACTAGGACTGGGGTTTTGGGCAGCATTCATTGTTTGTCATAAGTATGGTGTTACATGTTCGGTTAATAGTGGTTAAAATGCACAGAAAAAGACTCAAATAACTATTCCAACTACTCCTTCATAATGATACTCCTTCATAGATTTATTTAAGTGCTACTTACGTAGTTGGATACTAAATTTAAACAAATAAATAAATAAAAATATATATCCTGTATAACAAAGACTATAAATATTCCTGCCGCAGAATGTCCTTGGAGCTATCCTATCTGGTATGTAGGCGCTATTTCCTGCTCTGCGGTTGTATTAATAAATTAAAGGGGAGGAAAGGGTTGGAGATGCTATTAGGAATTTTGAAATTGTTTTAATTCAACTTTACCTAAAAAATTGCTGTGTATGAAATACTTTTAATTATACAATATTAAACTTATTTTTACAATAATATTTATTGTGGAGTGTAACTTATTAATTCTGCAAGATTCCGAAAAAAATATTTTCTACAGCTAATCAGAGGATCATTTAAATTTACACAAACTATGAACTTTCAAACTTATAAATAAAAAATAAAACAGATATTTTGGACAATGGTTGTGCATTCATCCATCCATTCGTTTCTCTAAATCTGCTGAATATGTAAAATCGTTTTATGCTGATGATGTCCAAATCTTGACAGAGGAGTTTTTCTAAGGCCAGCATATTTCTATCTACGTTTCCTCCATTCTTTGCCATGTTCGCTAATCTTCTTATGAAACTTGGATAAATAGATTGAGCGCCTCGTGCTTGGAGGCACGTACCATCGGCTCGAGTGCAGCTCCTCAGACGCCCTATACGGTAGCCTCGATGTATGCGGGTGGTGTAGAGAGGAAGCACGTGTCGGGGCATATACTAAAGCAGATATCCGGGCTGTGGACCACCTCCATCTTGTTTTTCCTATTGCACTTCCGCCAATAACGGTGTCTCGTGATTCAGACAAAGGATTCGAACATGTTAAGGAAACAACTTTCTCATCAATTCCATTTTGATTTTTTAAAAATAAAATAAATAATAAATACTACCAAAAGCCATAGCGAACAATGATACCTACCAAATAAAATCCACCATGTAACACCAAGAAAAAGTAATCGATCTTCTGTCTCACAATTTTATTTTATTTACTTTAATTTACTTATAGTTAGTGCCGACCATGAGCGGTGCCGGTGGGGGGCGCTGATCATCAGGGATGTTCGTCACTTGTTAAGAATTTAAAAATATATATATATATATATATATATATATATATATATATATATATATATATATATATATATATATAAATATATATATATATATAAACGTATTAAAATAATTAATTTCAGCCTATTGATAAAGCAAGTACATTTGAGAAATTTTGAATGAAATAAAATTCTGATATTATATAGCTTAAGAAATAAATTACTTTTTTTAGGGAGGAGGGAGATGACGTCTTGCCTGCAGGCGCGAAATGTCTAAGGCCGGCGCTGCTAATGGCGGTGCGTTTCGTTTAAAATTACTTTCAACTATTATCTGGACTTTTAAATGGATTTATGTGATACTGTATATATTAATTGTAGACTTAAAGTTCGTTAAGACCTTGTGAAATGTCTAAACGCATCTTAAGACTTGTCAGCGTTTGTTCTTATTTTGCCTGTATATCACATATCAGATATTTTTTTTTTTTGTCTTTTTGTTTTGTTATTACTATTCTTTTTTTTTATGCTATCATTTCTTCTCATTGATATCATATTTTCTGAATACCGATGTAGATGGCAAATTTATTATGAGCCAAGAATATGTATAACTAATAAATAAAAAAACAATATCACTTAAATTATTATTGAAAAATTAATTAAAATTAAATCAAAAACGCAATGTAATAAATATCCTGTATGTACCTTAAAGATTATATTAAACTTGAACATAAATAATTTAATAGTTAAAAACTAAACTAATAGTCCGCAGTATAGACCCCTATTTATCAAATTATTAACATCTGCCTAAAACCGTGAATGGCTTCATCTAACAATTTTTTTATCTACAAAAATTAATCAGTACTCAGAGTAGCATTTGCCCATCTCTTCTAAAAACTCATGGAATTGCTTTTCAGTTGAATCCTATGATAATTTGATCATATAATAAAAAAAAAAGATGCCCTGACAAATTTTGCCGATCTTCATATTAAAAACACTCCAATTCCGAGAATTTTCGTAAATAAAAAAGTCGTAGACGAAACTATTCATGAAATTTTATTTGGATGTTGATAATTTGATAAAATGTTGTCTGTACCAATTGTGCTTTGGTTAAATCTTAATAAAGTATTTTTTTTTTTTGGTGTCTATTGAGAAGTTAACAAAGGCTTAACAAAGAAAAAGTTGTTTTTAAAAAATGAGAATTGTGATAAAATGATATGCTGACGATGGAATATTTTTGAATGCCATAATTTTTTTTATTTAATAATTTTAATAAAAAAAGTATTCCAGTCAGTTTAAACATTACTCACGCTCTCATTGCTTCATGTCTCCCAACATGGTCTCTTCCGACGACATGGTTTGTCCCACTGCTATTTTTTCATGACTTGTCACTTGGAAGAGTAAGTTATTACTTTTATATATATTACTATTCACATGAGATCTTACTTTTATATAATTATTATAATATATTTTAGAAATCAATGAAAAAATTACTATTAATAGAATTTCGAATCAATGAGTTTCGTTTATATTTTTTTAAATCGTTTTATAATTTTACACATCAACAAAATATAGTAGACGAACAAAAAAAAAAATGTATAGATTTCGAAATATGAGTAGTAAGTTAGTTAAATTTTAATAACAGTCGTTTAGAATTTAGAGATCAATTTTTTTTTTATTTATAGTGCGATTTTTATATAATAATTTATTTTATATTGTGTTTAAAATATTAAAAACCAATTAAATCAAATTTAAATGGATTTCTTGTCTTGCCTAGTCTGAAATGTAATGTGAGAGCATTTTGTTATGGTTTATAAGTGTTTTCTGTTATGGACGTGCATTTATTTTGGTATAGTGTTCGTAAGGTATTGTTCTAAAGTTCTAAAATATGATTTTCCACAATTCTCTTCACTGTATTGCTTTCATTTTCACTTTATGTTTCTATATATATATACATATTTAAAGGTATGGATATGAGAACTATAAAGTCTCAAAATATTGCCGAATCATTGATATTTATAGACAAAAATTCAGGATCATTGAAAAACAATATATTATTTTACAATCGGGAAAGTTCAAATCAATATATACATATATATATATATATATATATATATATATATATATATATATATATATGTATGTATATAAACTATGAACTTTCAGATTGCTCCTACACGTTTAGTTATTGTAGGTAAGTTGCTTTGTTTCAGAGATGGGTCTACGGAGGGCTTTCGGGCTGAAGCTCTCCCCTTCCCTCCTCCCAAAATGGTATAATATACTTAAGTCTTACGAAAAAAAATAATATCTAAAAATATTATTGTTCGTATAATTACATTTAATATAATTCCAAGAATCACTAGAACACCATTTCATACAGGTAGTTAGTTTCTTTTTCTTACAAAGTAATTATCGTTATATACATTGCATAAAAAAAACATTTTGGGCTGAAGCCCTCCAAAATTATATCCTGGTTCCGTAAGAGCTTTTTATGCACTATAATTTAAAAAAATATTATATAGTAATAGTTTTTGAGTTCTACCAATGGGTAGCTTCTCTTCATGTTGTACATGTCATGTTACCAATGTCACATTTACTTATTGTATTTTCCTTGTAGTACAGTTGTAAATCTCAATAAAAAAAAAAAAAATAGTAATATTTAAAGTATTAAGCCTAGATCATCCTCAAAAAGAAATTTGGACCAACGAAAAACAGTTTTTTTTTTTAATTTTGGGTGTGAGACATCAACTCGAAAGCCTCCCCCTAGATCCGCCAGTACTACCCATTCTTGATTTTAATCCATTTGATTCGCTGACAAACGGACTACTACGCTAAGGATTGCGTAACGCTTCTCTTGACTCATATCCACATTCATGGCCTGCCAATGCGGTACTTTACAGGTCGTTGTAAGGAATAAAACTGCCTTTTAACAGAGACATAACCGTATAGCTTATATTATTTAATAGCCCTTTTGGCGACATTGTGACACATTAAAGTAGCCGGTACAGAGTACCTGTTGGTCGCGGAAATGGCCTAATCCCTTGAGAATTCAGCCAATAATCGTAAACATCTGGGGCTGTATCTGCTAAAAACTAATGCCATCGTTATTTACGCGGACATTTATAGTTGCTTATGTCGGCCCTTCTCGGAATCCCTTCCACTCTATCTCTCTCTTCTTTCTGAAATCTTTACAAGAGCATCTTTCCATTCTTTAGTTTTGTCTTAACGTTCCAGGGGCACCGTCCAGGTCTCTTATGGAGCATCGGCAGTTGAGGCGGTGTCCTACCGCAATGCAGGTACAGACACAATTCAATATGTTACATTAATCAATATCTTAATAATAGATATATAAATCACTAACATGCCTGCTATATCTCGTTATGAATCGGTGACTGGGCAAGATAAGGGGAAGCTTTGGATTTACAAGACTAAGGATTGGGACTGTTGGACTTGTGTATGATTGGGATCTGAAATGCATGCATTCAATTGGAGACTTTTCATGATTCAAGTTTCTTTACATTCCACACAGAGGAAATGAGCGTGAAAAACGTATTAATTAAGTACTGTGACCCAAATGGGTCGCTGTAACACTGCACACATCATGCATGGTTTGCATAAATATAAGGAACATAATCATATTGCATTATTAATTAATATAAAATACTTTATAAACTTAAATAATATGTATGTATATATATATATATATATATATATATATACATATTATGTATAATATGTATATGTATATGTGTATATGTATATATGTATATATGTATATGTATATATGTATAATATGTATATATATATATATATATATATATATATATATATATATATATATATATATATTAACAGATATCAGTCTGATGAAAGTATACTAAAACAACTTTTTTTTTAAGCATTAGGCCGTAAGTTTCCAATAATAAACATTTTCACTTCATACAAATTTTCTAAAATGCATCATTATAATATAATTTATCAATTTATCATTCCCTTATTTCATCGAATGTCGTTTTTATTCCTCCTTAGTAGAATATATTAAGTGTGATGTTCAACTATAAAGCATTCATTCAAGTTGAGCATCACACCTAATATCTTCTACTAAGGAGAAATAAAATTCATCATTCGATGAAATAAGGGAATGTTCAACTGACGAATTATATTATAATGATGTATTTTTTAAAAAAATGTATGAAGCAGTGCATACATCTTGAAAATAGCTCAATAAGCAGAAACGTTAAATAATATATCCATAAAGTGAAAAAGGTTATTATTTGTGACCTATGACCTAATATTTAAAAAAATAAAATAAAATAACCCTTATTTATCAATTAGCTGACGTTTTGCTCAAACTATCTATCAACAGGACTAGAGATGTTGAAGGTTAAAATATTTAAATTAATACAATAATTAAAAAAATAAAAATAGAAATCCCTTAGAAGCCTTTCATTTGCAGCCTTGTCTTACAGGAGGGCTGCGTATTTATGTTATATCTAAAAAAAATATTTCATTTTACTTCATATTATTTTCCCGCTTGTTACATTATTTTTTTTTTTTTTAGGTTCTTTATTTATATTTAATAAAAATATAAAATTGAGTGCACACATATTACAATATGGATAGAATAAATATTAGTCGATTATTTCTTAAGTGAACCCACATCATCATTGAAAAAACTTCAGGAATTGCAAAATCCATTATTTTTTATTCCAATTGTAATATCAAAAACAAAATTTTTTAAAAATTCATTATTTTTAGCACGTATATAGAAGAATAACTGATTATTTCAATTGTACTTCTTAAAAAAATTGAACATAAATACGGCCTATATAGGTTTTATCTTCAAGGTCCGTTTTAAAATTGAAAAAAAAGGTTTATTGGTGTTTGGTTAGGAGAGAATTTAAATTGGTTAATTTAATGAAATACCAATAACTCATAAATGCGTATTTGGTTTCCACTTGGATCGTAAGATAATTTGATCACAAAATCAAGGAAAAAGTTGGCCTACAAAAATGTTGAGCCGTTTGCCAAACTGCTCAGTATTTTTGAAGGCCACCTTTTTTCTCGATTTTGTGATCAAATTATCTTACGATCCAAGTGGAAAGCAGATGGGTATTTACGACTTTTTAGTACCTAATTAAAGAGACAAAAGTTCCCGATCTTCAGTTTGAAAACGTCGCAATTCCGGGAATTTTCGTAAGTAGTTGTAAGTTGCGATGAGATGAAGCGATTTACGAAGTTTCGGGCGGATGTTAATAATTTGATAAAAATGGGTTTGTGCCACGAACTAACAATTTTTTCACATAAATGGTATTGGAACAATGGAAATAAATTATTTTCAGTTTTAATTTTAATAAAACGGTTAAAAAAGGTTTTGATGAATTATTCTTTTAAGAATACTTAAAAAATGCTCAATTACATTTCATGAAAAAAAAAATGGTTAAGGAAATCAACTTATTTTTACTTACACTTACCTATATATGTTATATGTAAAAAGGGCTAGTATTGCGATCGTAAAAAATTTCGAGTCTGAGTTTTCAACAGAAATACACGTTTTGAATTACCCTGAGTCCAAATAACCAAGTCCCGAAAAATGGTCTGTGTGTATGTGAACACTAGCTCGAAAACGAAAAGTCGTACGAAACTGATATTACGTATTTAAGATAGGTATATGCCTTAGATGTCCTAATAACTTTTTTCTTAAAGTCGACTTCCGGTTAAGTGCCATTTTATATATTTTTTTTTTAAATATGTAGATTTATTTTTTAAAAAATAATTGCACCACCAGATTATTTGTGTATTTTTACATAGATGGCGTGTGTTACTCGAAAAAATCGATTAGGGTTCAGCTTAGAAATTAGTGAGTCATTTAAAAAAACAACAATACGAAACAATAACATTTAACAATGGAAGCATATGGCAATTAATTTTAAATTACATTGTGAGGATAATGAGTTTTAATACAATCAGGACAGTAAAGAAGCAACTTGATTGTTCAATATGTTTAAATTTAAAACTAATAAATTTATTTCATTAATTAATTATGATTGCTATTTATAGACCTTTGCCGTTGATGCTTTTATGAGTTCATCAACTGACTTGCGGATGAACCAGAAGTCCTTGGCACTATGATTGTTTATGCCTGCAAGATCCTTGGGACTTGCTGTATATATATATTATCCTTCAATTAATGGAGAAGATACCAGATGTTTACGGTGGTAAGAGTAGGTCGGCAAAGGTCAGCGTTTGTGAATTTGCATTCAAAAATGGCAATGCGGATTGTGATGTGAATTTCCCTGGAAGTTTCTCTTTCATACAGACGTTTGCTAGGCTTCCCACAGGGCTTTTGTCTTGAGATAACCCTTCATTGTGAGGCGCGTGAGATTCATCGATAATCCATCTGAGTGTAAAAGTTTGACTAGTTTCATTATAATTTAATACTATTTATTTTGAGAAAAGTAGTGTTTATATTCAATTTCTTTTTAGTATCGGCAGATTTTTTTCATGTAAAGTATTAATGTGTTTTCGTATTGTTAGTTGGCGAATTGGTTGAATGAATTATAATTTGAGAGTTAATATGAGCACTCGAAAAAAAATAAAAATGTACAGATTTTAAAAATTTTGTTTAGACCGGTCACAATGCGTTTAAGTACAGAGAGTATGAAAAAAAATAATAATTTTACTATACAAAAATTTAAGTGATTATAAATATTCTTAAAATATAAATATAAATCAATAATTTTAGCAAGTAATGGCATATCATAGCAAAATAAAACATAAGATGGAAATTTAAAAAGACATATATTGGTAAATCAATGTGTGGCAATAAAAGTTCCAATTAATTAACATCTATACGTGTTATATCTAAACATAAAAAAATACGCTGCAAATTATTTCACAATGGTTTATTATTTCCAAACAATTATACATTTAAAGTAAGCGAAGTTTCATTGAAATCTGTACATTCGTTTAGGAGCTACAGTCTATAGCAACGCAGGTTTTTCGGCCGCCATTTTGAAAGTAAAAGGCGGATAGTAATGCCGATGAAGGAGGATCATCCTAGGGTGACCTCTGATTTAATATAAAAATTTGAAAAAAATCGGTCCAGTAGTTTCGGAGAAAATGCGCGGACGGCGGACGGACAAAAAAATTTTCATTCGTTTTTCGAATTCTACGCATCCTGAAACGTGAAACCTCAAATTTTGAGAGGGGATTGGGTTTTTGAATTTTTTGGTCGCTCACAATGGTTGATTATTGAAAATAATATACCAAAATATTAAAGGTGATAGTAATAAATACTATAATTAAAATAAAGTAATATAGAGAACATATTATTTACAAATATTAGATTAGTGTTATTATCAAAGTTTTTATGTAATTTATTTTACGATCATGAAAAAAAATCATTTATACAGTGCGTGACTTCTTCTAAAATACATTAAATGAATACATTTTTAATAAAAAATACAATATTTATATGTTGTGATAATATTCAGATAACCATTATTGTAATATTGGAACTAAATCAGCAATTTATTTTTCTAATAGAAAAAACAACAAAGAAAACAGGTTATCTTATTTCACTAAGGATATAAATATTAGCGAAAAGTATCAATTCATATCGTAGATGCCGATTCACATTAAATTTTTTTTTTTAAATTAAATTCATAAAAAATATATTTTTTTAGATATTTAAGTGAAGTAAATTTCATATATTTTATAAAAATTATTTATTGCCGAAACTTATCTTCAGGCAATTTCTTAGAGTAGCATTTTTACTGTTATTTTATGACAATTTCGCTCTCTTCGTTTTATATTCTTAAAGTAATATTTATCTTTTCCTTAATTATTAATAAAAAATACATTTTGTATGGAGATTGGTATTGTATAAGACAAAAAGTGAGTAAAATTATTATAATAATAATGATAAGAAATGTTACTCTAAAAAATTGTCTAAAGATTGAATAAAACCTGACAATGAAGTAATAAATAAATTATTTTTCAACAAATGGAAGAAAATACCCAAAAATTTGATACATAATTCTTTTTCATCATATTATAATGAAAAGCAAATAAAAATTCATTAGCATGGTCAGTTAAGTGGGTTCATATCAAAGAAGGACTTCAGTCATTTTTAAAAAGTTGAGAAAAATCCAATTTTTGTAAAATAGCTTCAATTGAAACCAATTGAAATTGATTGTATAGATAAGTTAAATAAAGTTTACTATTATATGTTGGGAGTACACAAAGTGCATACAAAAAAATGTTGATCATAGCCCATGTTCTATTAAGTGTT